ATAAATACACATAAATATATGTATACATATATTTGTATGTTAAGTGCGTTGCTTTGTACCAAAAACAACATGTACAAATATATAATATACTTATGTACATATATACTCTATGTATCTATGAATATATGTATGCAAAACATATAATACTATGTATAAGAGTTATTCCAATGGCATGGAAATATTTGTGCAATTCAGTTGAGGAAAAATTTAGTTAGAAATATTAACTTTGACTTGGCGCCAGTTGAAAATACTAAGTAGCCCAGGTCACTCTCCACATGATCCTTTCAGTGGAGTGGAGATCTTCCTCTTCCTCTGCTTCCACCAGCGGTTAATGCTTTTACCCATCCGGAGGACAACATGACTTAACCAGCATAGCCGCTATCTCTTCGTTCGCTCCACTATGTCAATATCATCGTACATCTCGTTCAGTTTATCGTTCCATCATCTGCGGTATGCGCTGTTGCCACTGCACCAGGGACCATAAATCGTTCGCAAACTCTTTCTCTGAAGACTCTTAGAGCCCACTGATCACATATTGATATCGTCCACGCGTCTGCGCCATATAGTAGGAAGGGTATGTTAAGCGACTTGCAGAGTTTGGTTTTCGTTCGCCGAGAGAGGACTTTACTTTTTAATTGCCTACTCAGTCCAAAATAGCTCCAGTTGCTAAGAGAGATTCTGCGCTGAATTTCAAGGCTGACATTGCTGTTAGTGTTGATACTGGTTTCAAGATAAACGAAATTATCTACGACTTCAAAGTTATGACAGTCAGCAGTGACGTGGGTGCCGTGTCGCGAATGTTATGACTGTTTATTTGATGACAGGAGATATTTCGTCTTGTGTTCGTTCACTACCAGAACCATACGCTCCGCTTTCTTATCCAATTTGGAGAAAGCAGAACCCACGGCGAGGTTGTTGAGGCCTATAACGTCAATATCATCGGCGTATGCCAGCTGCTGTACAGTCTTGTAGAAGATTGTAGCTTCTCTATTCAGCCCTGCAGCTCGTATTATTTTCTACGGGAATGAATGAAGTCACACGACAAACACGACAAAGAGTAATCGTATCGGAAACCTCATTTGGTATTGAATGGCTCGAAGAGGTCCTTCCCGATTCTGACGAAGCTTTTAGAGTTGCTTAAGGTCAGTTTAAACAGCCGTATAAGTTTTGCGAGGATACTATATTCAGACATAGCGGCTTAGAGGCAGCTCTTTTTCGTGCTGTCGAAGGCGGCTTTGAAATCGACGAAGAGGTGGTGGGTATCGATTCTCTTTTCACGAGTCTTTTCCAAAATTTAGCGCATGGTGAATATCTGATCAATGGTGGATTTACCAGGTCTAAAGACAAACTGATAAGGTCCAATCATTGAAATAAACATTTTTTGTTTTTACTACACCAAGATATGTATGTTTGTACATATGTATATATGAAATAATATTAAAAAATTTAATTTCATATTTTCTTAAAAGAAAAACAATTCCATGAGCTGGGCTATGGAATTCTAAAGCTGGATTTTGCGTCGACATATTTTTTTAAGAAAAGAAATGTCCATCTGCCGTTTTTCGCGAGAAAGTTGTACAAAAAATCACATTCTTCTTGGAATACCTCAAATACATACATATATAATAATACATAGGTATGTACATAATTACATGCAAACCTACTACACAAATACACAAATATATTCGCTCATATTGCTAAGCGTATGAGCAACATATTTATTATTTAATACATTTTGCATGCGCTGCAACACCGCCGCCCTCTGCTGACTGACGCTGCATAGCTTGAGTTGACTTTCTTCTGCTGCTGCTGCTGCTGCTGCTGCTTTAGTGATAGTTTGCTAGTTTTACAGTGAGTTCTTGTTGTTGTATGCTGCCACCATCGCTGTTGCTGTTTATGTTAATGAGCATACGCTTATTTATGCTGTCAGTTCACAGCATACATACATACATATAAGTATACGTATATGCATATGTTCTTATGTATTTATATTTACATATGTATATACTAATATAGCCATCTCACTTATGTACATATACATCAGTGCCAATGGATTACAACTACAAAATGGACTTTTATATGCATATAAATATATATGTATATGTATTAATATATATACAAACTATATACATAGTATATATGTATATAAATATGTATTAACTTATGGGGCGGACTGAGTGTTTGTATCGACAGTGGCGGTTGGCTCATGCCACTAACTAAAAATTTCCAACAACTATTTGCATACCTACTAGACACATTTATGTGAATAGCTATGTAATACATATATCTATATGTATGCACATACTCGTATGTACATGCATATGTGCTCAAACTAGTTTCTAATGTTCAATGTTCAAACAACCACCTCGGCTACTCATTAACACACATTGCAAATGCGTTCATTGTTGTTGCTTCGTTGTACCACTCTCAAGGATAATGGATAATGATGTGAAATTTATGTATTTTGTGTTGAAATTAAAACCTGATTTTCTGCGCACAAATGAGTGAGAATAAATATATACGTGTATGTATGTAATAAACATTTATTCAAAAAAGATTTTAAAACTCAAAAATCGCTGATGCGGCTGGTGGCGGCTGAGCTTTTTTATACAAACATATTTATACAAATTAATATATATTTATGTATAAATGTATATATAATCTTATGTGTGCTTCTTTGATCTATCATGAACAGACGTGTGTACATACATATGCATGTGCTGGTATTATTATCCATTGCGTTGGTCCACATTTTATAAAGGGTTAAATTTTTTATTTTGCTTTTCCTTTGTACAACGCGATGTGGCCGTCGACAAAATTGTTGTATTTCCGCCTTTTCTTTTCATTTATTTTAAATTTATTTCACATTCATTTATTTGCATGAATGACCAATGCACGAAGCGGCCGCCGGTCAGCTTGGTTGCTTACAAACGCTCTCCACCCCAACCTGTCGTAAGGATGCTTTTATATTTTTGTATTTTGTATTTGCGAGCCTTAATGATAATGAGCTGAGGGCCATATTTATGTATATACATATATATTTGCTATGCATTACGAGTGTAGCCTGACCCTTGAAACGTACTGACTTTCATAGTCGGTCAGTGAGCGCGTTAGGCGCGCGTTGTTACTAAGTTAGACGCAGTTGTTGCAACGGAAGTGTTGAAGTTGTTGCACAACATTTCCTTCGCGTGTAATTTTTGCGTTCTAATTATTGTTTTTGTTGGCGCGGTGTTACTTGGACGTGTTTGGATGGAATATTGCGGCCACTGAATAACACTTATGTGCCAATGAACCTATAAAATGGCATAACGCGCGTGGTTTTCGTTACTTCAAGTGCTATTTATGCAGCAAAAACAACAAACCTGTGCTTATATTATTCTCAATATGGGATCGCCTGCATCAGCGCGCACTCCACACATACCACAACAACGTGTGGGTTACAGCGCGTACACGTTTACGTTTCCGTTTCCGGCTCCATACCAAATAACAGTGCCACAAAAGTGCGTGCGTGTGTATGTGACAGAGAAGCAGTTGAGTTGACTTGAACAGTGAAAGAGCGTAAATGAGAGCAGGCGCTCAGCTGCAAGCGCTGACTATGAAAGCGCCAAGTATGCGCCTAACTCTTTAACCCTTTCGATGCTTTGCAGATTTGGCGCTCAGCCCGCACATACAGACATGTGGCTCAAAAGGCAATGAAAACAACTCAAATACGCTGCCAGCAGTAGCAGCGCCAAGCTCTCTGTTGCGCGCGCGTGCAACTCAAGCCACAGGCAGGCCAACTCCATATGTGTAGCTGTGTAGCTGTGTAGGTGTGTAGGTGTGTGTATGTACTACATGCAAAATAATGCGTTACTTTTGCGGAAAAAGAGGCGGAATTTTGTAAATTTTCAACTCAAAATCATGCGGCAGCCGCGCGCTTATCACTATTTGCATTTCTGCCGTGCGCCACAGCAGTGTAGTTAGTATTTTATTATCACGCGTAACGCGCGCTAATACGTTAACAATTTCGAATTTCCACTGACTAAAATAGGAGTTGCGATTTTGAAAATGCCTACAACACGCTCGAATGCGTTCTAAACAACCGGAACTTGTGTGCCAACACCTCAAAGCTGACCGAAAATATCACTAAAATTTACATACAACTCATACCCCAAACTGCAGCTCTGCACCTGCAACAGTATGCACTTGTGAACTGCATTAGTATTATTGTTGTTATCGTTGCTTTAACTGCTGCCATCGCAATCTCATTGCATCATTGGCTTCGACGTTGTGCCGTCGTCGTCGCTCTATAGACGACGCAACGCGTGCGTGCCTCCATTCGGTCGGTTTGTAGTTGTTGAGTCGCCATCGTTGCTGCCATTACCGTTATCGTCGTTAGCATATGTCACTCGGTATTTTGACCACCAACTTGGCGGCCACCTTTCCGGCTCACAAATTTGCGTAATTTAAAGTTGCACTTTGCATCGAAAACAACGTTGGAAGCGCGTACGCGTTCCGCGGCATTAAACTCCAGCGCCTCGAATTCTGAGCATTGCATCGCATATAATCTCTCAAGTGCACGTGTGTGTGTGTGTGTGTATGTACGCCTTATGTGCATTTGGTTGACCAACTGACCAAGCGTCTAGGTGGCAATTGACGGAAAGTGGCAAATTTTTAAGTGTGTTAGCCACGCATTTTGGTGTCCCGAATGGTGGCGCGTATTTGAAACACAACAAATTTTTGGTGATCCATTTAAGTGTTTTAAAGTGCAGTGAAAGTATTCAAATACAAAGCGAAAAATATTCAATCGAGGAATTAAATTGTGAATTTTTATGAAAAAAAAAATTCAAAACAGATTTAAGTCAAAAGGAATTGAAAAATAACGAAAAACGAAATTAATGTTAATAGAAAAATCAGAAAAATATACAGTTATTCTAAAAAATATACCATTAGATGTATTCAAAGTTTAATGAAAGTCTGTTTGAAAAATTTTAAAAGTGATGTGCGAGATATATCGATAACAAGAATTACAAAAAAAATTAAATTTGGTGAAAAAAAAATTTTGAAATAAAAGATTTAAGGCGAGAAAACAACGAGCAAACGTAAGTCTCAGTGCTTTTGAATTTTATAATTATTAACAGATAACTGTTTATCTTTTCAATAAGTCCAAAGCAGAGTTTAGCAGGTTTCGAGAAAAAAAATGTGAACAAAAAATAGAAAATTGTTGAAAATTTTATTTGTTCCTAGACATATCTCAATAAGGCTAATTTCAGTTAAAATTGCCATAAAATAATTTTTGCTATAATAATTATTCCCATAAGTGAAAAAAATAAATTGGCTCATCAATTTTTTTATTTATTTTTTTTATTCGAAAATAATGAGCCAACATCGAACATTTTTTTAATTTTGTTGGCTTAGATTCTATGGGGACAAATACAATTTTATGAATGTGATAGATTCAATTTATCAAGTCCGTTCCTTGAATTTCTCAAAATAGTCTTAAGAAACTTTTTATAAGATCCCAAGAGTGTCCGGCAAATTTTAATGAAAAAAGTTTTGCCGGAAAAATTACGAATATAATTCAGCCTCCGTCCTTCGCAAAGCCCAAAAACTGTTTTACCTTTACATATAAATCACTTGATTTATTTGTACAAATAAAACTCGGAAAAATCATTTTCGTCGAGGTGACAATTTTACAAAAATCATGTGACAGCGAAAATACATTGTACGGTGAAACATACCGTAATCGTTAAATGATTTCCTGTCCGTTAAATGATTTCTTGTCCGAATACTAAGGAGAGTTGAGATAAAAAAACTTCTACCAAGCACCTTCTGGTGTACTTCTGAAACTGAAAAGAAAATTTTACTGTTGTTGATTTCTGAGCTCTGCACAAATTGTTCTTTTAGCAATCTTTTTTAAAAGTCTAAACAAAAGTTTTCTATTCATAAATTCTTTAAAGACTATATCATCCATATCGTATTAATTCAAGTAGGAGACCTAACATTTCTGTTTCTTTTTTTTTGTTCAGAACTCTTCACCAACAAGAGCCACTCAATCATCTCAGCGCCGCTCTGACATTTCAATACCACTTTTGTAGAACGAACAAGAGATACGCTTCCGATTAGGTCTCAATTGCAGCAATAATCATTTCATTTGAGCGTCATTTCTTTGTGCTTTGTTTACTGCCATTGATCACTGGCAGTCAAATATGGTGAATAATGTGGATGGGGTAAGAGTTCATAGTTCAATTCATATGTTTTTGACACTGTTTTGATGAAACACATTTTTTTTCGCTGCCACATGTTGGTCGTTGTTTTATTATTTCGAACTTCAAGCGTTCCAAGAAAGCTACATTCTATTCAATGTCGATGGTATTTTTCTGCTCAAGATAGTCAATAAATATTACCTCACGCATAACCCTAAATAATGAGGTTATAACGCTTCCATTTCTATTTTCTTTTAATTTTTTAAGGATAATTTCTAAGCAATATGGAACAGATATTTGAAGAACACTTTCTGCCCAAATTAAACTCTTTATTCTTTTAATAATAATATATAACAGGGAAGACTACAGAATAAGGAACACCCTCCGCATTTTCCCTTTTTAAGGACATTTAAAAATTTTGGGAGATTTTTCTCATACCTGCCCACACTGTCTTTAGAAGTGCTTGTAGTTCATTTACCAATATTTCATTTATTTTTTTGGCGGTGGACAATTTATGGCACACATCTTGACGTGTTTCCAGCAAATGACAGCATCTGCATTTTTTCCAAGCCGCCTTCGCACGACTGCTGGATTTTTATGAGAAATTCTAATTTTCAAGTTAGAAATCTCTTCGAATACCGGTCGGTCTAGCGCTTGAACCCAGAACCAACAGAAGAGTAGAACACACTCTTATATTACAGAAAAAATATAAGTTTTTTTGTTGTTCATAGTTGTACTGAAACTCTGAATTTTCATGCAAAAATCCATTTTTGGGTTAAACAATGAAAAAACTCCTACGACTCCATATCGTCTATTAACAGTTCGAGAAAAGTGTTGTTCTTGTTTATGGTCTTAAAATTCTGTAAATATTTTTTTTTTTAATATTATATTTTCTATAACTTTTATCAGTTCCCGATTGGCAGAAATTTGTTTAGTAAGGACTTACTGCGGAGCACAATCAGCTTAACGACGGTTTAAGAGGGGTCGCCAATATACAATTTATTTTTTTTAGATTTATATTTTTTGCTAAATTTGTATACTATTTTTTCTTCTAATTTTTTTTCTTTTAATTTCATTAATAATTATTTAACGCTCATTTTCTAGCCAATATCTCTAAAATCGATTGCTACATTGAACTCAAACGCAAAATGTGGCATACCTTTAGGCGTAGCATAAATGAAAAGTGTACTCGTTTGTCAAGTGCAAGTGTATTTTATTTATTTACAGGCAAAATATAATGCCGAAAATACATGCAGGTCACCAAAAAAAAAAAAAAAGAATTAATAATAATTATAATAATAATAATAATGAATATTTCGTGATTTTGCCATAATTTAAGTAAAACTTTGTGATTCATTTAAGCTTAAATTGTGGCGAAGTGTAAGCAGAAAAGTGATCAATGATGTGATGGATTACCTCACAATTGTGCAAGTCCCCATTTTTCGGAACAAATTTAACGTTTATAACTTAGCCCCTTAAGTGCAATTTCCAAAGCCCAATAACCACAGGCAATTTGTACAAAATTTGTGTGAAACAACTAAACATAAACTGCAGCATTTCTTTGAACTACTAAAAAATATCAAATTCTGCTTATTTGAGATAACATATTTTGGAAAACACTAAGTGAACTAAATAAAATAATAAATTGATTTATTTTGAAATAAAAACGTATACATAAAATGAACGAGCGTCACAAATACAAATAGCTGAATGTCCTTATGCCGCAAAAATTTAAAAAATTCTTTTTTAAGACCACTTACATAGATATTTGTACAAATTCTAATTGGCAAGTTTTTGTAGCAACTGAAACAATTTTTGGCCCAGGCTCCTGCTCAAACTTATGATTTTGCGTCTTTCTATTTTTCCAAGAAAAGTAGACGCCTCCAAATGCCGATGAAATTTTGTGTGGAGCTTTGATTTTCTTGTTAAAAATATACTGGGAGGGCTTCACACTGTGCTTCACCGTGCTATATAAAACATTATATCAGTTTGAAAAAAGGTCAATATTTGCGAGTGCTTTAAATAACAAAATATTTCTTACGTTACTTTGAAATTCAAAAGATCTAAATAACCCAAAATGACGATTTCATAACTTCAGTTTAATGATGTAATAATAATGCGAACTAATGACGTATCTGCAATTGCAAGAAAAAACATTTTTGCTGAAAGGCAACTTTGAGTCGGCAACAAATTCGATGACTTGTTAAGGGGGGGGTAGGGTTTTGAAGGCAGAAAAAAACAGGTTTCTACAGATTTTTTTTTGGGCGTACGGTGGAAGTAAATTTATTTCTGATTATTGTACATTAAAGAGTTGTAATTGAACTATATTCTGTGAAATATTGGTTGAAAAATATTGAAAATTGAGCGAATAAACGCGTTTTTCTCAAATCGATGTTTTTTGAGTCGGTGCACTCTGTATCTCAAAATCTATTCAACCGATCGTTCTCAAATTTTTTACAGTATTTCCTTGAGGTAACCCTGTCGAGATATTATCGTTTTTGATTTTAATTTTTTTATTATTAACAACAATAGTCATGAATTTTGGCCAAAAATCGGTATTTTCACTTTAAAGTCTTGTAAAAAGTTCAAAAATTAAAAAAAAGGAAAAACTCGACAGGGATACCTAGAGGGGCATTAAAATTGTTGGAAAATTTTTGGTTATTTCATTTCAGATGATTCAGTGCTGAGGTATGACGTGCACCGCAAAATGTATTTTTTCTGAGGCGCCTGCGAAGAATTGCTGCCATTCGGTCAATTTTCAATATTTTTCAACCAATATTTCACAGAATATAGTTCAATTACCACTTTTTAATGTACAAAAATCAGAAATAAATTTACTTTCACCGTACGCCCAAAAAAAAATCTGTAAAAACCTGTTTTTTTCTGCCCTCGAAACCCTACCCCCCCCCCCCTGAACTGAGGTCACATTTTATTTCAAATTATATGCATTCTGTACGTATAAATTACCAAACAATGTGACTATTAAAGAGACCTCACATCTGAAAAATTAATTTTTTTTTGTTATATTTGCGCTAATATAATCATAATTGAGGGGCTTGGTAGATTACAACGTCCGACACCAACCTGGAAACGAGATATGAGAAGTTGATTTTAAGCAACAAAAAACTCTTGCAGTCTAATTATCCAAAATTTCATCGGATCTATTAAAACACGATTTTTCGCTAAGCTTTTAGTGTTAATATTGCGTTATTATTTTTATAAATTTTTCACTTGCAATTTCAAAAAATTTGTCTTTTCTTGTACTCGTAAAATCACACACCACTGGCTTGTGTGTTCCAATAACTAGCAAAGGTAAAAGCTAAAGACACGTTCGAACAATCTTATTATTATTACAATTATTATTATTATAAATTGTTTATATTTTCTAGGACATCTGTCTTAAATTTGAAGTCATTATCTCTTTTGGGCATTTTTATTATACGAAAAGTGTATGTGGTGATTTTTACAATGTCTGTCATTTTGAAAAAAAAACTTATCAATAAACTTTTTTTCGCGTAAAGGGTTTTAAGCTGCAGAAATAATGAACGCTCCCAAAAAAAAAAAATTTAAAAGTGGCACAAGCAATTCAAAGAAAGCAAAGAAAATATTAGGAGGCACACCTAGTGTAGTGGCCTAAGAAAGGTGATTTTTGGGAATTTTTATTAAACTAAAATACTTTATCAATTATTTCAAAATTTGAAGAAGATTTTTATACATGTTTCATGAAAATACAGTGAAATTTTTGAAGAAAAAAATTAAAAATTTTTTAAGTTATAGTCCATCTCTAACGGCGCGAAAAAAAGTCCTTCACTGCTGCAGTGATTCCGGCCTTCTCCCTGGATGAAATCTAAAAAAAAATCTCTACTAGATAATATTGAATGTACAACCTACCTACG